TTCTTCTGCAAAAGTACTTCCAATTTTATCATTGTAAACTTTCTACTATATATTTGTATATTCTTATTAATTTTAATTAATATATGTATCTTTCAATTGCTAAATTTGTTAATCAGATTTTTTAAGAGATTCTGAGGTATTTTCAACTTTTTATTAAATCTTTTGTATCAATTGGCATGAACTTATGATTTGAGGAATATTTGCAATAGCTGCAATAACTTTACCTGCAAAGCTTTACCCGCCATCTTGAATATTTTCAATGATCTTTACCAAAATATCTTTTCCCTGCTTAAACAAATTTATAAAATTTATAGAATTAGTTTGGAAATTTTCAAAGTTCTAGTGTAAATTATCCAAAGACTTCTTTAAAAAATCCTCTCTATCTTTCATTGCTACCTTTGTCATACATTAAATCAAATAATTTTTACTTGGTTCAATAAACTTTTCAATAATTGTATCAACTATTTCCATTCCCTTTTTTATCAGCCAGGATGATCCTTTCTTTATAAAATCTTCAATAATTTTTTTTAAAACTCCAAGTGCACTGACAGTCCATTCAATAACTTTATCTTTAATTAATGGAAGGATAGCTTTGAGAGCCCCCTTTTTGATTGCTGTAATTCCAGCTTTCATTCCGATATTTAATGTTTAAGCTCCAATTGTTCCAGCAACTGAGGAGCAACCCAAAGTAACTATTGATAATGCAACACTTATTGCTTTTTGAATTCCATACTCAGTCCAAGAAAACTCACCAGAAACCATTGCTTAAATGCCATAAATTATATCAGAAAAGCCCTCTTAAATAAGCATATTTCCTAATACGGCACCCACTCCAGTAGCTATCAATAAGAATCCTACACATATTTGAGCAATACCAATAAGGAAACATCCGAGAGCGTTCCAATTAAACTCCCATCCTTTTTTCAAGACTAAAATTTGTTCTAATCCTATATCATTCATTTCTTCCATTTCTCTAGGAATGGGATTTTTCTAATCAACAAATTTGGAAACTAAAGTATTAACATCGAATTCTATTGAATCTTCAGTTTTGTTAATTCCTATTTTAGCTATTAATTCATTTACAAATGTCTCTTTGAATTTTTCTTTCTACTCTTCAAAAACTTTTTATTTTTGGGCATATCCTAAGTTAGCAGAATTGAAAATCCTATTCTTTTCCTTGTATTTCTCCTCTAAAATAGGTTCTGACATAGTTTCAATAATTAATCTAAAGTGATTAAGAACTGAATTTTATCTTTCCTTATCAATCTAAAAATCAATTTTATCTATAAATTTAAATAATATTTCTTCAATTTCTTTCTTCCTTTTCTTACTATCATTAGTGATTTTGAACCTAAAATCTTTAAGCTTCAGGATTTTATTTTAAATCATAAACATTTTTAAATTTGCGAACTACTCTTAAACAGTTTTTTATACATCAAGATTGCTCTTTTTCACAAAAATTGGTTAAATATCTCCAGACTAAGCTTGATCAATATAGTTTTAAATTATTCTAATGATTCGATTCCCTAACTGTTTATTCATAATTTCTTAATTTTTTATTTTAAAAGTTCCTTACTCATCAACAAGCACAATATTTTTAGCTATTAGCTATTCATAATATTTAGAGAATGAACCTAATTAATTTTTGAACTCTTCAATTTTAAATTACATCTCTGAATTTTATAATAAAAAATTATTTATTTCTACTTAAGCATCTTAGGTCAAGAAGCCACACCTTTCGAATATAGCTGGGTCATATTAAGGAATTTAAACAAATTATTTTAGGTCGCTTAGATAACCATTTTTTATTAAGATTGAAAAAACATCATCTTAATTTAAAAACACATCTTTAAATTCATTTTAGGTTACATATCGCTACTCATAAGTTGGTTTACCAACTTTTCCTTTCAAAACATTTATAATCTCTACATCACAATATTAAAGATTAAATGGGATTTCGATAATTTGATCTTCAATTTTGAACCTGTATGGAGCTTCTTATATTTTAACCTTTTAAGATATTCTCTCAAGTTTAAATATACCTGATTTATCAAAATACTCATTTATCTCATTGAATAATTTTTAATTATCGCAGCATTAGTATAATACTTTTAAAACATCTAGTGTTGGTTATTCTCCAACTGATTATTTGATAGAGTCAATATGAAAGTTGTATAGTCCTATTAGCTACTAAATCTACTTCTCAAAAAGATTTTCATATTGAACATCTTTTTTTCTAATTTAATAATTTTTATCAACCGCTTTCATAATCTCGATTGTTGCAAGCAATTCATTAATTTTTTCTTGCATAAGATTTTGACTTTGTCTAAGTATTATTCCTATTTAATATCTCTTTTCTAGGTCTTTTTCATCTTCACTAAAGGTTTTATTCAAAATTTTCTTAAAGTCAAAGTAATCGTATAACTTTAAACTATTTTTATCCATCAAAGCTTTAGCTTTACGATAGAATGCAACCTCGCAAAACTCAGGTTCATTTTTAATTACTCTACTGTAAGATTTCAAAGCCAGTTTGATGAACTTGTGTTCTTCAAAAAAATTTCCCAATTTTACTAATTCACAGAAAGTTTTTGCAAATTTAAGACAGCTTTAATCAATCATTAATGTATGGCATTCATTTTAAAAATGTTCATATTTGATAAATACGTCTTTTCTACCATTTTTGTATACTTGATTTAATTAATCAGTCATATCCTCTAAAAAGAAAGCCCATCTATTTTTTAGGAAATCTAGTTGCAATTCTTAATACTTAGTAATAATTGTATTATCATCAAAAATTCGCTAGAGGTTTAAATCACTTTTTAATTTACCTGAAAAAATCGAATACAGCTTAATAAACTTTTCAAACAGTATTGCTTCAACCTCAAGTCTGACTAAAGTTTTTTTCTTGAGTTCTCCTAATCTATAACTTTCTAATTTGTCTCTCTCTAATTTTATGTCATCAATAGATAAATCAGAGTTGGAAAATTATATACAAAATTATCCACTACCTTACTAACCCGTTCTTGCAGTTCTACCGAAGGCTTATTCTTCGATTCTAATATTACTTGTCACATACGTTACAACCACATGCAAACCTCCTTTTTTACTAACATCCTCACTGATCCTCAAATCAGTTCCTCTTCCTGATATATTAGTAGCAACAATTACTTCTCCACCTTCAAGAACTGATTCAGACCCTATTTTTAATTTTTCATCAGCTGATATTCTTATATAAACAAGTTTGTGAAAGCTTTATATAAATTACTCTAACTAGAGGACTGAGCTGACGTTTTCACAAATAAATAAAATAGGTCTTTTCTTATTGACTGCAATATCTTATATTATTATTTTTATCATATTCATCTAAACTTAAAGTGATGGTACAATAATAGGATCGTATTAAACATAGCTAGATTAAGTAAATCTTGGTAAATTAAAAAATTTCAATTTGTAAAGATCACCAAGAAGTTTTCTTTCAACTTTCGATCCAAGAGTCCCTGTAAGACCATAGATCTTTCCTGTGTAATTTTGAAAATACTTTAAATTAGATATAAATACAGCTCTAAAACTTTCAGGCGTAAGTCTATCTTAATGCTTAAGTTGTAAGAATTAATGAAGTCCATTACTCCATTAGGTTGACTTTTATTCTACTCCTGTTTCTTTGTCCATTACAACTACTCTTCCATTTTCTTATCTCATATTTAAAATGTATGGATCATTTTAGTTCATTTTTTTTGCTGTAAAAGCATTTTTAACATACTCAGGAAGTTTTCTAAGCACAAGGGCTTTTAAAATATTAGGAATCTTGATGTTTTTGGAGTTAATTCTTATTTTAAGACTCTCGATGACAATATTGATATCTTCTTAAGTTCCCTAGCTATTTCCTTTAGCATGAATTGATGCCCATATTTGAACATAAAGATTTTTAAGACATGATAATTCAGCTATTTTATGTGATAAATAGAGTGTACTCTCTCCTTTATCAAGAAGAGAGCTATCGATCTCATCTACAATGAGACAACCAGTTGATCTACCCGCACGAACACTTTTTCCAATTAATGATGTATCTAATAAATAATCTCTTTCAAAAGAACCAATGTCACCAAATACAATATCAGCCTAATACCTCTTAGGTCTAATTTCCTCTAGCTAATTAGCTTTATTATCACAAATTATTTCAGACATTAGCCCATATTGATTATAGACATTCTTACTCTCCAAATAATCTCTTTCTGCAAGGTCACTTGAGCTACTTATAATATCAACTTTATATCCTCTGATTGCTTAGATTACTGTCCACAGTTAAATAATCAAGGTTTTACCTTCGCCAGTATAAACTTCTCCAACTTGCCCCAAATCATTATAAAAGAATACACAGCATGCTATTTAAGTATGTCTTGCAGTTTTTCCATTCGCTATTTAAATTCCTCTTAAAGCGACTGCAAAAATTTCACTTGCATCATCTGAATTTTTCTAATTTTCGTATAATACTTTAGCATGTTCTACCCAATCTTTAATATTTTAACTATTCCATTCTGATATTATTTTATGATCTATTTTATTATCTTTACTGATCAACTTCGATGGCTTTTTTAATTTAATGAATATTTCAAGAATGAAATTTGTGAGTTTTGGGTCATTTCCATCATTAAACTAAACCCATTCTTACACTCCTGAATTATATTCATTCATCAATATTTGCTCACACAATTTATTGCAATCAAATCGCAATTATTATTCTAGAGTTAATTGTTATTATCGTTCTTGTTTCTCTCTATCCATCTTTGCCTAAGCTTATTCTTCAAGTTATATAGCCCAACCTTTAATCCCTTTTATTTCAGACTCTTATTTTAAAGCCAATAAACTATCTTGACTTAATATAATTTTGCGGTTATTTATCTTTCTAATTAATATCAGTAAATCTAAAGGATCGTAGATTTTTTCTTTTTTTACTGCATCTAAAAATTGTTTCAATTTATCTT